TTATTAATTCGACGCGAACGAAGACGCGGGTACACGCTAGTTTAAGTGTAAAATTAATTCGAACTCTAGTGTGTAGTTGGTTTACTTATGAAGAATATACTACACATTTTTTTATATTGCTATTTTTTGACCGCAAATGGTAAAACTATAACTAAGAGCTTCTCGCCCGTCGAGAGAGATGCACCCTGTACACTGCTACGCAATTCACGATCTACGCGGATCGAGGGGCAAGGCGTAGGTAGATCGGAATGTATACCTATAGACGAGTGGCGGAATTTTGGCTTTTTTATATCGCAATTTGTAAACAGCGCTTATTTGTAAACAACGACCATTTTTAGAGGGGTATTTTAGATAACAATCGATATTTAGAAATATTTTGACACCCTGGAAATACTACCACCGAGCATGTCATTGTTGCAACTTGCAACTGCGTTAATACGCCTGGCGGTGACCGCCTCATACTCCTTCAGATATTTAGCAATAAAATAAAGAAACCTGTTATTTTTAAGCTGTTATTTTAAGCTGTTTTTTATAAATAACTATAACAGTTTCAACTGTTATCTAAAAATAACAGTTTTGCCCATCACTACTGGGTACTAGGGTGAGCCAAAAAACCTAAGCTGGAATTTTATGGGTTAAAATGAACCTAATAACCGAGAAAAAAGTATCCCCGGAAGGCAGGATTTTTAGATAACTTTTAAGTGTCGGTGAACATTCAAAGTTTTCCATTTAAATAACACGTAAAAAAATATTTTTCCATTGAAAGTACCATAACTTTGAAACGGTTTACGATAAAGAAAAATTACATCGCGGATCATAGAGAGTATTTTTTTTTCAATTCAATAATTCAATATTTAAAGGCTTTGAAAAGTGAAAAAAATCAATTTTCAATCAAAAATAAATCAGTTTTAGTGTTTATTGGTTAAAAATTTTCATATTTAGTAAAAAGAAACTACATTATTTTGAGATAGATTTTTTAGGAAATTTTATGCTCTACAAGACTCTGCGATGTAAACATTTTTATCGTAAACTTTTTTTTCAATTGTGGTACTTTTAATGTGAAAGATTTTTTTACGTGTTATTTAGGTTCATTTTAACCCATAAATTCCATAGGTTAGTTTTTTTGGCTCACCCTACTGGGTACTTTACTAAAAATTCAAATTATAATTATCTAAACTCTACGCTGGCGCTGGCATCGTTCTGATAATTAAATATCATAATCATTATAATATTACGTCAATAAACGCCAATTTAAATCATCATAAATATCCTACTCAGGTAAAAATTCTAATTAAAATTTTTTAAACTATGCGCTAGCATAGCACTGATAATTAAAAATCGCTTTAGATGGTTTTTGCTCTGGTTTTCTTCATCGCAGTTGACTAAGCTTAATTGATATCTCTAGAAACCATTCAGATCAAGCTTAAAGTTCGCTAATTAGGTGTCGGGAATGCTCTTCAGTGTTATTTTTTTCTTCTTTTATATTTCCACTCGAGATGAACCGATAAATAAGTCCATTAGCGCATTTTTTCCTTCTTAGAATCTTTTATTAATATTTAATCAATTGTAAAACGAGTTTTTAGTCCTTTTTTAGAACTGTTTCTATTAAAATTCGTAAATATAAATTTCATAATATTAAGAAGACTAAGTACTAAAGTAGATAAAGCTAAGACTTAAGAGAAGAATACTACAAACTAATAAGAAGTAAAAGAATACTACAAACTAATCCTTATCCTAAATATGCCTCTGAGGAACACAGTAGGCTTAAATTTCTATGAAAAATACCATTTCTATCTTAGGTGTAGGATATTAAAACATAAAATTCATCATCCTTATTAAAAAAAGACTCTAAACTCACCTCGAGACATTTCGAGAGACGTGATAAGTACATCCGCCTTTTCTTCTATCAAACATTCTGGGATTAAGGAAAACGCAAGAAAATGTGCGTCATCAGCGTTCCAAATATCTTAGTTAAGTTGCCTGACTTTATTCTAAAAATATACAGTGAGAATTCTGAATCTACAAGAGACAATATAACATCTGTTGGCGTTAAAATTTTAATTGATTCAGATTTTCATAAAAGAATTAAACAATTCGAAGTTCTAAAAGCCTAGAGCTGCAATTCCAAGGATGTGTCGAAATACAAAAATGGCCCTCCAAATCTCCAAATGACAATCGCGCGACAATACGACGATAGTGTCAATGTAGCCAACTAGAGAAAGTTAAAACACTTGTGTCTAGCCCTAGCAGGCAACTGTTAAGCCCGACCAATCACGTTAGAGTTTTTGACAAACACGAATGAATTAACACACTCCAAATAACCACGCTAACCAACCTGATTGGTCAAGCTTAATAGTTGACTGCTAGAACTAGACACTTCTGTTAAAACTAGGAAAAGTAGTTCAAAACTACCAGGGTTGGATCAGAAATGACTGCAATCGTATACAAAATATAGTAGATCATATATAGGGCCCGGTCTTTGAATAAGAAGACTAAGGAAGGGGCATATCAAAAATCTTAGGTACACCGCGATGGGCCTCAAATATGGCCGACTTAAATTCCGGTTTATCAGTATCGTTTTAATTTTATTTAAAAAATGTAAAACTATGGTGTAGGGTAGACGTGGGGTAGACTCAATAATTTGTTGTTTTATTTTACGTTGTGAATAAATGTTGGTAGTTATTGAAATTGTTATAAAAATATATAATTCTAATAAAAATAGATAAGTTATAATAAGTATTTATTAACACAAACATCCGATACGCTACTGAAGCAGGTAAGTCAAATTAACGTATCTAAATTCTTTGACATCTAATCTTTGACAAGTAATAAATAAAAGCTAAAATGCAAGAAAAATATATAATTTAGTTAATTTAAGTGAATTTCATGAATGATCGGTTTACTACACGTATGTATATTATATAGTCACTTACTAGCGAAAAGTTGTTCCATTATTTCACTCAATTTTTGCCGAGATCTACCGCACGCCACACAACCAACTATTTTAGAGTCTTTTTCGATAAATCGCGATAGTGTCACTGTTAATTTAAGTTCTGCCACAATTTCCATCTAGATTTACTACCTTTATACAACTATCAGTAGTAGAATAAATAATAAATAACATAAAATAAGCTCCGTAAAGACTGACAAATCCACAAAATTTCAAATCAAATTCAAATGTGTCAAATGAATCGTCAAACAGAACTCTCAAGGATCCCCACCCTAGAGAGCTTTTATGGTGGCTTTTCCGCCCAGCATGCATGAATACATGGATAGCATTATGCTCCTTCCTTAGTCTTCTTATTCAAAGGGCCCGGCAATAGTGCGTCGGGCATCTGTAGCTCCTAGAATAAAATACTTGGGAATTTTGATTAAGTGCACACCTAAAGTATGTACTAGGATCTATTTCAGGAAAATATTTTAACTTCTATAGGGTGGCTCAAAAAAGTGTGAGTGGATCGGGATGATTTTTTTTAAACGGAACACCCTGTATATTATTGCATTTTTTGCTTCCTTTCAGATGACTTTACATAATCCTAAGACATGAGTAAATATATTTTGATAATTTCAGAGATATTAATAAATAAATAAAAATTGTATATTTTTAAGTCTTTCTTAAAAAAATTATTAATACTACAAGAACTGTCCTGAAATCAAAACTATATTAGATATTTACTTTAGATAGTCTGTACTTACTTTGCTATAAATAAGGAAATCGTAAATCATATAGGATGTTCAAAATTCTACGCCAAACTTTCTATGTATCTTGTTGTCACCAAACAGTGCCGTGGCACATATTTTTCTTAACCTAGCTGTTTGAAGAGATATTTATATTTGTTGATAAATGTTTCGACTACGCCTATGGTGTATACGGTGGTATCATACTAATTAATTCCGAAAAAAAACATATTAAAATGTTAACAAATGGTACAAAACTATAGTATCGACGTATAACACACATCAAGTACATATAATATCAGAAAAATAATTATCAAATTCAATAAGAAAACTAAGAAAACGCTAAAAAGGTGGAGCGGACTGTTTATTTACCTATGAAACGTAACTCCTGGCTTTTTCTTATCGCTGCTGCTTCTACACTTGAAAGCTGAACAACTAATCACCATTGTAATAAAGTTTATACAAAGTTCACTACACACAAACTATTAAAAATCGCAAAAATTGTCGCTGGTGACCAGATGATGACTCATTGTTTGCCATCAAAAGAATGGCGTCTAAGGTCACAAATTCTGCTGCAGCCCGTATATGGGCGTTACATGTCCTTATATTCTTTAGTCATTGGTATTTTCATACTTTTTCAATTTTTTCATAAGAAGGTATGGAAATTTGGAAAAGTATAAACAGGATTAAACCATTTTAGACAAGCAAATTTTTTATGAAAAATGCATTTTTCTCAAAAAGTTAACAAGAAAAAAGGGGTTTCTCACGTAAACACAATCCGGGGACGTACTGTAAAATGTGACTGTCCAAAAAAAAACACAAACCCTTTGATTTGGTGTGTAAAATATACAGGGTGAATCTTAAATAAGTGTAAATATTTTCAGGGCTGGTAAGATCTCAATAAAAGAAACATATTATTAGCATTATTAAATGCTAAACATCTCTTTAGCATTTTTCAAATAAGTCCAAAATCGAGATATTTTACTTTGAAAATTTCAAAAAGAAAATTATTTTGTGCTTATAAATTTTGAAAACCATTGGATCTTTTCTGAGTTCGCTTTCTTGTAAACTTAATCTACTGCCTATGGTACCATATTATGGAGATATTATGTTTTTAAACCAAAAATTTAAAAAAAAACAATTTTTTTTTTCAAGAAATCCAAATTTTCAATTTTTTTTGCGAAAAGAAAAACTCAGACATATTTCTGGGGTCGAAATCTAAGGTCGAAATATACTACCCCTACAAGTATTTGCACATATTTAAGACATCCTGTATATCAATTTTTATAAAAAGAAGTTTATTTCGTTTTCTTTTGTTACAGCTTTGGTAGTATTGGGATTTTTCGTCTGCTGGGCTCCGTTCCACGCTCAACGCCTCATGACCATCTATTTCCAAGGCAGCGACTTAATTGAGGAAGTCAATTACTGGATGTACTTTATCACCGGGATCTGCTACTATTTTTCCTCCACCCTCAACCCCATTCTGTACAACGTAATGTCCGAAAAAATGCGTTTCGCGTTTAAAGAGATCTTTTGCGGCGTTAAAGCAAAAAAGAACACCAAAAGAAGCACTTTCAGAGAGACCAGTAACACGTATGTTACTATGCAGTCTAATTCCAACCACCATCAGTGCAGCAGTTTACCGGAGGAGGATATTTTTCTCAGTAAGGACAGCGCGACAATGCTGATCAGTCAAAATTCCAGACACTCAAACAGTGGGAAAATGCTGATATTTAAGGCGGGAAGTATAAAGAGTAAAATCTTAAATGATGATGAGACCGGTGTTTAATGCAAAAGTGTTTAGTGCAGATAACTGAACTATATAACATTCGAAGTGTTTGATAGACAAGAAATGATGGTGATTAAATAAAAAAAACTCTAAGTAAAACAGTTCTAAAGAGACTAGTAACAGCTAGGATGTAATCAATCCAACCAAAATGATAATTATTGTAAATTTCCAGGGGAGCACACAATCAGTCAAAATATCAGCTAGTCCAATGAAAAATGCAATCCTAAATGAGACTGTTTTTTAAACCGATCGTATGCAGTACTTAAACTATACAACATTTTTTAAGTGTTTAAAATTAAAGAACAAGTGATAAGCATTAAACCATAGCAGAAATACTTCTAAAGTAAAGTAACACCTAGGTGACGATGTAATCCAACTCCATTCACCATAATTATAGTTTTCCAGAGAAGGGAACCTTAATACCTAAGAATGACGACATTGATCAGTCAAAATATCAAGCATATAAACAACGGAAATATATCGATATACCTACAACGCGGGAAGTATAAAGAATAAGATCCTAAATAAGACTGCTGTCTAATAGCTAGTATTTAGGTCACAGGAAATCTACTTTTGGAATTCAGTTACATCTGTATTATGATGCAATCCAATTCCAGTCATCACCATTAGAGTTTTCCATTTCCAGGAGGCAATCACGTTCAGTAAAAATAATGAGACGATTTGCCGAAATACCAGGCATTCAAATACAGAAAAAAATATCTATATACTAAGAGGAAGTATAAAAAAGGAACTAAACAAGACTGATGTTTAAGAAAATAGCGTTTGATATACAAAATTGAAACTATACAGGGTACAAATATTTTCAGGGCTGGAAAGTCTCGATAAAAGAAACATAATTTTCTCTTTACCGTTTTTCAAGTAAGTCCAAAATAACTGAGTTATTCAAGTTTGAAATTTTTTTAAAAAAATTGATTTATTTTTATAAAATTTTGGGAACCACCGAATTTTTTTCTGTATTTGCATTTGTTAGTGCCGTTACCATGGCAATATCATAGATTAAGAAATTACACCGTGGAAAGATTTGCGGTGAACAGGCAGTTCTAAAAAGTTTTCTCAAATATACAGGAAAACTTAAAAGATAATGCATAGTTTCCAACTTTTTTTGCAAAAAAAACTCATAGACATGTTCCTGGGGTCGAAATATACCAGCCCTAAATATATTTGCACTTATCAAAGGTTCATTCTGTATAATATTCTAACTGTTGAAAGACGAAAAAAAGAATTTGAGGGGATATTTTACAAAATAAAACCATAATATAAGTTCCTCAAGAGAATCTTCATCATTATAAAGCTACAATATTGATATATACCATACCGTCAAATGTATAAATAATGATATCTTGAATCAGTTTGATTATTAATTGGACATGTTTTAAGTGTTTTGTGTAAAAAAACCAAACTGTACAACATTCTACGTGTATCAATGCAAATAAATTAACCAACAGTGTATTTTGTGGCATTAAACCAAAGAAGAACTCTAAAAGAAACAATTCTAGAGAGAGTTGGATTAGGTAACACCTAATCCAACTTTAATCATCAGTATTATGTACCAGAAGAGGATATTTCGCTCAGTAAGCATAGTGTGATTATCACTCAAAATATCACAATGTTCAGATGGAAAGAACTGTAAATATAAAAAAATCGATTTTTATGTCGTAATAACCAAATATAATCGATATTGTCTTTTCCAATAATATTGTTTTGAGCATTTAAATTATGCATTCAAAGTAAACTTTTAAACAAAACCATAAACCATATCATAAGTAGACACTTTCCTTTTCCATTATTATCTAGTTGTTATCAACATCATTCAGAATTTGGCATATAAAATCGCAAAACAGATACCACCAGCTTCGAATACGCTATAATGTTATAATAGTAAGTTTTTATAAGCTTTGGAAAAAGTATATCTATTTTTTTATTATAAACAGCCAGTATACTATTCGCGAAATAGGCCGAAGTAGGTCAAAATCGAATGTTGAATAGGCTTATTTCTTATTCGGCCTTGACCTGGTTATTTCGCGAATAGTGTAGAGGCAGTTGTAGACTTCATGTTAATATTCGTTATTTCTAAAGCTTTGCAAATATGGTTAAGCGGAACAACAATAGATGTTTTTTTTTATAAATGTTATGTGTTTTGTGTGAATATATATACAAAAAATTTAGTTAATGTCTAATTATATATGGTCTAAGAGTAATGCTTACATAGAAGAGACTTTTATTAAGTGTTTTACTGAATTTTCTACAGGGTTCTACTAAAACAGTTGTGGAAAATTAAGGGGTAATTACTTATAGGATATTTTGTTATGTGAACGTGTCAAAAATCAACTATTTTATTAATTTCTCAAATACTTTTTTTGTCCCGACACTGGACAGTAATAACTGGGGGAGTATATTTCAAACCCTTCCAGTTATTTAAAAAAAAATAAAAATAGTCCAATTGTATGTTTTCAAAATTCCAATATTTCAATATTCCCATAAAATTACATTATTCTATTATAATATTCGGTTTTCATTATTAAGATATAGGTAAAAGTAATATTTTTTCTCCATCTTTGAACTGCAATATCTTTAATGGCTGACTTTTGTCCCAATGTTTATATAACAAAAAATCTTTTATTTTTAACAAGGAATGACCCCTTTTTTGTTTTGAAACACACTGTATATATTTGAAGGGAGGTTTCGAATATCTCCCTTGTAAATAAACCCAAAAAAATAGCCATGGTACAATAAATAACTAAACGTATACCGATCTGGCCACCGAAACTGCTTGGTCTGGATTTTAACGTGTAAGACAGTGATGTAGACATCATAATGGAAAATCAAATGTATTAAAAAGAGACAAAAGTTGGGTTGATACATTTCTTCTATGCGGTATTGCCGGATTTTGCATCAAAATTTCAAACCGCACAAGTAGGCGTTTACGAAATATGTTGCATCTCGGGATGGAACTTCATTTTTGACAATTAGTTACTCATTTTACTACAGCTGTAATAGATTATATTTAGCTTGGATATATTATCTTTATTTCAGTAGTATACAGGAAAGTTTTTAAAATCGTTTATTTTTTGCTACACACGAAAAAACCGGCAACACTGTATGCCGCTTTTTATTTTGTCTCTCTGCCTGCCAACCGGTTATTTATATGTATCTCTCGCATGCATTAAAATACAGACCACGCTGGTGAAGTGAGCAGGATGGTATAACTATTTCTACTGTAAATATTATCACATTTTTAATCATAGATTTAACAAATATCTGTAAATATTAATGAGTATTTATAAGTCATTGTGTACAAAAAGATTATTATAATTATATTAAGTACCATTTCACATTATCCAATGGATAACTTTTAACATCTTTTAATAAATAAAAAATGCTCCTAAATCTTTATTGTTAATATAGAACGGGTGTAGGGTGAGTCTCAAATAAGTGCAAATATTTTCAGAGCTGGTAGATCTCGATAAAAGAAAAATATTTTCTCTTTAACCGTTAAAAAATGTGATTTTTTTGCTTACGTTTTGAGAACCGCATAATCTTTTCTTTGTGTTCGTTTTTGTAAATTTAACCTAATATCTATGTAACCATATTATGAAGATATTATGTTTTTTAACTAAAATTAAAAAAGTCTATTTTTTTTTCAAAAAAATCCAAATTTTCTGATATTACCTGAGATCGAAATATACCACACCTAAAAATATTTGCACTTATTTAAGACTCACCCTGTACAATAAAAGTTAGTTATTTATAATTAACATAGGGTTAGTTAACTAGTCATATACAACTAAAATAGCAGGGACGAATACAAAGGAAAGCACTTGATACTGAAGCTTATTCAGTTTTATTTAAAACAAAACTGCACAGCAAGTTTCCAATGCGCCAGTCAAGTTTCAAGCACATCAGTTTAGGGATGTTGATATTTACAACGTGTATCGATATTCAAAATTTCGATATATTTGTGTTTGTGAGAGGTTCGCTAAAACGGCAATATCAGAAACTTGTAACCACCAATATTTTTTTTGTCTATTTTGAATGTTTTTTTTTATTTCAATTAAATTTTTTGAATGGAAAAAGGAGTGCGCCACATCAACTTTTTTTGCCATGAATTTAGCCAACCACTGTAGTCAATGCAACAAGTATTTCGAAAACATATCGATATTGTATTTATGGAACACCTGGTATTTTATTTCATTTTTGAACCCGTGGGCACAAAGGACCCGTGGTTTTTAAGATATTAAAAGATATTTAAATACGCTTGCTATAATAAAAAAATTGTCAACATCAACGCCTGCTCCGACTTGTTTTAAAAAATACAGAGTATTGCATTTGGAATATCGAAGTTTTTGTGTAAAATAAATAATATTTAAAATAGACCAGCAATTTTTGATATACGCCTGTATACATTAGAAGAAGCAATCAAATTTTTCAGTAAGGTTGATTTCTCTGACTTAAAAGTCAGCACAAAAATTATTTCTGAAAAGGAATGTACAGGGTGTTGATAATCTATTCTATTGTAGCATGCATATTTAAATGTCTTTAAATATCTCAAAAACGAAAGATTTTAAACCTTAAAATAAATACATTTTTTGACCCAAGAATCCAAAAATGAAATAAAATACCGGGTGTTTTATAAGAGAAAAATATAACTTTGGTATGGATCTTAGTTCTGAAACACCCTGTATACTTCAAAATAATTTTAAATTGTGCACACTGCCTCTCTACATATACCAATAAAATATTTTGTTTCTAGATCTTTCCGTTTTCGTATAGTAATCAATCAAGGCGAATGTGCGCCACCCTGTCTAAAAAATAATACAATCAAAAAAACTCCCGACGAATTCACAAAAGTTCAAAATGACAACCTCGACGTATTTGTATTTGTGTTTGACTTATTTAATAATGCAATACTACTAAGATGTCGGCACATATCGATATTTTAATATATCGATAAAGTTGTACATCTCTAGATCCGTTTTAATAAAAAATACCCAGTCTATTCGGCTATGTCCATATAATGGCAAGCTGTCGGGCTGGTATGCTAAATTAAAAAGTTTTTCAATGCCTAACGAGGTCCTAGTTTAAATTTTCACAGTTATAGCAACTGAAAATGGCAAGGTTTTTTTGCGACAAAAAGCTACAGATGCGGTAATAAACGGTATATATATCTCAGTAATTTCACAGGGATAGCACTAGTACAGTATGCACAAAAAATTGGACACATTTTGAAAAAAAAAGTTAACGTTTAATAAAATAATCTAAATTTAAATTTGTTGTTTAATATACGGAGTAGGCTCCAAAAAACATGTGCCATCTCTTGTGAGCAGATTCCTAACGTAAAAATAAAATTTAAGCTTCATTCAGAACCTCCCAATTAGTGGAATAA